TACTTTTTTGAATATCAATTTCTTCTTCTCCTTTGTCGGCGGGGTCGTGACAATATTGGTCATCTTCTTTGCGGTGTATTCGTCATCATCTATAATCATGCAATTCGTGCACGCATTTCTCACAAAAATTGCGCATACCAGCAGGAGTGGGCGGAGTTGACCCTCTTGAGTCACTTCGAGGCATCATGTTGTCCAGTGCTCCGAGATTCGATGTTGAAGTTGACTGCTTGCTGAACCACAGAGTTTGGGAAAAAAAGGACAAAAGTCGATATGAATTCGAGAAGACTCACAATTTCCCGGCTTTTGCTGTTTGTTGTCGCAGGGACTCTAGCTTCACTGGTGATGGTATGAAACCAAGATCATGACCTTCCTTTACTAACCGTCCTATCCACCAGTCATTGTTATATTTCTGGAATTGAAGCAGAAGTTCATATGCATCGAAGAAATTAGCCAAAACCTATCTGAAACACATGTACGACAGTCAAGGACGTTATAAGATTCACAGAATGTTTTTCATAATAATCGAACTTTTAGCTACTATGCTAGCTGCTAAATTTCAAGCACAAGGTATTGCAAATTACCCGACATAAAAATCTCACAATCGGAACTATAGTTTGGATAGTGAGTTAAGAAACAGCTTGACATTCAGTGTTTTTGGTGAAAAGCTTACGAATTCCCTACTTTGCTTGATCTGTATATTTCTGCTCTAAATTTTCAATCGTTCATACCCTTTTGAGCCTTGGACCAAAACTACTATGTTAGCCTCCAACATAGTCAAAAAACTTCTTTTTGTCGCCTTTTTGAAATGGATTACTCTATGAGGGTGACTGGTTAATACTCATCGCCACTCAGATTCAAATGGCCAATTGTATTCCCCCATCTAAACGGTGATTGGTTGACTAATAGTCACGTTCAATCCTTCACTCCTAGCGTCCCGCCAAGACGTCTACTATTCCAGATAGATTTTGTGCCAAGGTAAAAGGAGAAAATTCTTGGGATAAGTGACTGTACCAAGATCTTAATCTGCAGTCGTAGAGCCACCTTTCGTCATTTTTTCCGAGAATAATACTCGAACAAGATCCTGACAAGTCATACCTCTTTAATGTGTAAAAAGTCCTTGACTTTGAAGGAA